CATAATTAGTAAAGGTACGAATCTGGTGATTATTTATTTCTACAATCTATTTGCTGTATCATCGTTCTTGGTAATGTAATCAAGCTGTGTGGAGAGGGAAAGTGTGTGTGACCCCTGAGTTGTGGCGACAGCTCACACAGCATGACTTTCAGGCTGTTTCTCTTTCTTTTGTCCTGCATAGCCTTGAACAGTGCGGAAGTGTTCTGGAGCTGTTGAAACAATATCAGAATATTAAAAACAACTTGACGGCTTTGATTCAAAAAGAAGAGGCTATCCTCTCCCAGCAAGCTTCCTACATGGGAAGGGACAACCTGAAGAAGAAGGTGGCAGAGGTGAGTGAGGCCACCTTTCCAAAGAGCCGTCCCGCAGGGCGACTTGGCTGAGGAGCCGGACAGGAAAGAGGGTGTGACAAACCACGTTTGAAACTTGCTTTAAAGGAATTTAGTAGTGACTGTTCCACGAGGCATCTAGGAAGTTATCTGCTTTATCACCAGGGCTGGAAGAAAATCAGTTTCCGAGTTGGTAGCAGATTACTTTGGTTTGGGCTTCAGTCCTGGGAATGTGGCTGCAGCAGAGCCTAGGACCACCCGCTGCCCCTCCACAGGACTGCCAGGCACCTTTGCCCCAGGCTGCCCCTCCACAGGACTGCCAGGCACCCTTGCCCCAGGCTGCCCCTCTATAGGACTGCCAGGCACCCTTGCCCCAGGCTGCCCCTCTGTAGGACTGCCAAGTGCTCTTGCCCCAGGCTGCCCCTCTCTAGGACTGCCAAGTGCTCTTGCCCCAGGGCTTACGACTGAAAAGGAACCTGAGCCCTCATGCAGGCATGCGGGATGAAGATTTCAGGAAGCCCTCTCTTGCTAACAGACAAGGAGGACATGACAATTCCCATATTCATTTTTCTGTAAAGATGTGCCATCCAAATCCCCCAGGGGCCCATCTGTGTTGATGGCTTTACTAATCCCAGCTCCATGTTGCTAAGGAGAACAACATCTTTTGGACACTAGATGTCATTATTTTCTATGAATTTACATGGTTAGATAGGAATACACCATACTATTTACTCTGTGACTATACATCATCAGAATGATGCCTTTCCCACCGGCTCATGAGCTCTAAGCTATGGGGCTGTCGAGCTGTCGTAAGTATGTATGGCATGTAGTCTTCTTGATGCATTTGATTATTAGAGAGTAGTTTTATTAAGCTTGCTCTTTATTTTTAATAGCTTTTTTAATTAATTAGTTTTACGTAGAGGGTGTTTTGCCTCCATGTAGGTCTGTGCACCAGGTACCTGCAGAGCAGTGGTCCTCAACCTGTGGGTCACGACCCTTGGGACTCTAAAGACCACTTTACAAGGGTTGCCTAAGACCATTGGAAAACACAGATATTCACATTACAGTTCATAATAGTAGCAAGATTACAGTTACGGAGTAACAGTGAAAATAGATTTCTGGTTGGGGGTCACCACCACATGAGGAGCTGAATTAAAGGGTCACAGTGTTAGGAAGGTTAAGAACCGCTGCTATAGAGACCAGAAGAGGATGTTAGATCACCTGGACCTGATGCTACAGGCAGTCGTGAGCCACTGTGTGGGGGCTGAGACTCTAACCAGGGTCCTCTGCAAGAGCAGCCAATACTCTTAACAGCGGAGCCATCTCTCCAGCCCCCTAAACTTATTTCTTGAGAGCAACTCAGTGGAAGTATGTATTGACCAAATTAGATTTTGAAATTTTTATTTATTTAAAAAATTTAAAGATTTATTTATTTTAGGTGTACAGATGTTTTGTCCACCTGTATGTATATGTACCACATGCATGCCTGGTGCCTACAGAAGTCATTAGAAGGCATGGGACACCCTGGAACTGGGTGGTTGTGAGCTATCATGTGGATGCTGGGAACTGAACCTGGGTCCTCTGCCAGAGCAGTCTGTGCTCTTAACTTCTGAGCCATTGCTCTATCCCCAACAACCAGATTCTTAGGGGTGACTTAGTCTTAGAACTGCCCGTCCCCATGCTCCGATGACACTGAGATTGTCAGGGAGAGCCTTTGTCTGAGACGCATTCTGTCAGGCTATTCTGTAGAGCTGTCCAATCTAAAGAAGCCTTGTGGAGACATTGGATGTCCGATGGGGACTGTGTGGCTGATTTCCTATCAGACTTCATTGAAGGAGGCCACCAAGATCATGAGCAGGCCATTAGCTGGGGTTCCTGAGAGTCAGTTTTCCCAGTTCCTTCCAACAGAGGCAGCTCTGAGCTTCACTGGCCTGGAGATCTAGAAGAATCCCGCCCTTGTTTCCAGCAGACCTTAGAAGCTCTGGATTCCTTGGTTCTTAGAGAATACGGCACATGCAGCCAGTTCAGAGTTCCAGTTCATAGTTACTCTTGTGTTTTCCTTCTCTAGTCTCTTGTCTTGGGTTCTTGTTTCAGGATGAAGTCTCTGCCTTGTTCAGCAGGACCCAGGTCCCCACCTTCTGTACTGACTGGATACCTGGCTCCTCTTGCCTTGTAGCTTCTCACTGTGTATATAAATCTTTGGCATTTCCAGTTCCTGGCCGTAGTCCACAGGAGCTAACAGGCCTTTCCTGATATGCTAAGGTCATATCTACCAAGTACCTAGTAGAGTTACTTATTACTTATTACTCTTAACATCTTTTTTTTTTTTTTTTTTTTAAAGATTTTATTTATTTATTATGTATACAGTGTTTTGTCTGCATGTATGCCTGCAGGCCAGAAGAGGGCACCAGATCTCCTTACAGATGGTTGTGAGCCACCATGTGGTTGCTGGGAGTTGAACTGGGGACCTCTGGAAGAGTAGCCAGTGCTCTTAACCACTGAGCCATCTCTCTAGCTCTGGTGACTTAACATCTTCATGAGTGTCAGCCATGATGCCCAACCCTCTGTGGGACCCACCTGTAGCTCTTCTTTGGTGCTTGAACATCCTTGGCATAACTCCATACCTATAAACTATCCTTTCTAGAGAAGTCATTTATCTGATTTTTTGGTTAAATTTCCATCCATCAGCTAGGCAGGGGCTTTATCTGTCATCCTGCAGACTAGCCCAAGTGTAGACTCTCTGGCTTGACAGGTTCTTTTTGATGGTCAGCTTTGCCCCATCTATGACAGCCTCTCCAGAGAGTCGGCCACTTACTTCTGAGGATGCATGTAGAGTAGGATGCGTGATTCTGAAGTGTCTTTTTAAAACTGTCATCCAATTGTCCTGCTTGTGCCTGCCTTCTTTCATGAGTACCTAGAGGGACTGATTAGTCTTTTTTTGGAATTCTGAGACCCAAATGGACTTACCTCCTCCTGGCTTCCCCTGTCCCTTCCCCTCAACCCCTGTCCTCCCTGCTAAGGTTTCAGCTTTCCCTGGGTTGTTAAGTTACTGACCTCACATTCTCCAGCTTGCCGGCTCCTCTGCTTCTCATCTCTCCCCTGAGAGCTTTCTTATCTTCTGTTCTCTTGGTGCATGGTTGCACCCTTTTCCCTTGTCAGCATCTGGGGAGTGAAGAGACAAGTATATACTTAATCCACCCTGTTGAATTTGAAATCTAGACGGCGTTTTTTTATGCATTAGCGAGAAAAAGAAAATACAGAATAACCGTTGTAAAGCCTTTCTGCTAAGTGTTTTAAACTATCTGAGGGCTGGCAAGATGAAGGGGGGGATCTGTCTCCATGCTTGACGAGCTGAGTTCAGTCCCAGGGACCCACACGGAGGAGGAGAGAAGCAGCGGCCACCGCTTGCTGTAGTAGGGAAGCAGTGCTGGTTAGGTTTGCCTGAACTTCTCACTGTAAAGGATGTGGGTACAAGAGGTATTTTAAAAACTAATAATTGCCAGGGTCATAGATTAGAAGAAGAATATTTGATCAGAGTTCACGAGGCTCTGTAAGTCAACATTGGTATCTTCCTTGATCACTCCACTTTATTTCACGAGAAAGGATCTCTCTGAACCCTGAGCTTATCGACTCAGCCAGGCCATCTGGCCAGCAGCTGCTAGGGATCTTGTCTCTGCCTCCCCAGTGTGGGGACTGCTGGAGCTGGGGATCCGAACTCAGGTCCTCCTGGCTACGTGATACGAAGCTCACTGGACTGAGCTGTCTTTCTAACTCCCTTGCTTTTGGGTTCGGAGACAAGATCTCCTTGTGTTATCCAGAGTGGCCTTGACGTTGGCAATCCTCCTACCTCAGGCTCCGGAGTGCTGGGATTATAAACACGTACCACCAGGCCTGCTTTTAAGATTCAGTATTTAATATTCAGTATTGGAACTTCTAATGTTAAGATAATTCTTCATTCACATGGAACTCTATGTCATAATGAAGTGCCCCTTCACACCCTTTATTCAGCTTCTCCAGTGATAGATTATAACAAGAAACAGATGTCAGTGCAGTCAAGAAACAAAGAGTGTACATACAGCACAACTCCCTCCTGCCATCAACTACGTCCCACGCTAACCTCCTGCCTCACCCCTGGATGGTAAAAACGGATTCCTCTCGGGGAAACATAGAAACTGGATAGTTTTATTTTCTCTTTTAACACAACAGAATCAGTCTTGCTTTTGTTTTTTTGCTAGGATCTTATTTTGCATGGGCCGGAAATATGTTTTATAATATTATAAATATCTCATAGTTTTTTCAAGGCATGATGCTGCACACCTGTACTTATAGCACTGAGGAGATTGACAATCTCAGGACAATCATGAGTTCAAGCCTGAGGTACATAACCAGACTCTGCCCAAAAAGCAAACAGATGTGGCACTGAGGTAGAGCTCTTGCCTAGGATGCATGAGTCTTTGGGTTTGACTCCAGTACCATACTTGTTAAAAATAAAATTTTAAGAATAGACACATGTTTCGTAATGCAGAGCAGAAGGAAAATTGAGTAGATTATCATTGAAATAAAAATCAAAGGGCTAGAGAGATGGCTCAGAGGTTAAGAGCATGGCTGCTCTTCCAGAGGTCCTGAGTTCAATTCCCAGCACCAACATGGTGGCTCACAACCATCTGTAATGAGATCTGGTGCCCTCTTCTGGTGTATGCAAAGCGTGACACTGTATACATATTAAATAAATAAATCTAAAAAAAAATTGTAACAACTGTCCATTGGATAAGTAGAACATTTCCACTTGCATTGTATCTTTTTCATTTGTTTCATATTTACTTAGAGAATGAGAGCACATGGCTGTCCCAGAGCACATGTGAAGGATAACTTGTAGAAGGGAGGTCATTGGTCCTTTCACCTTGGGGTTCTGGGGATTAGACACAAGGCTGTGAGGCTTGGCAGCAAGGACCTTTCTTTACTAATCCATCTTGTTGGCCCTTATCATTTTTTAGGTTGAATAATAAAAACATAGAATTGTTATTCTAGCAGCCTGTCTATATGCATGTTTTGAATATGTCAAAAGCATATTTTTGCTTTTTTTTTCAGATTGAAACTGTCAAAGAAGAGTTCAATGAACATTTAGAAGTTGTAGACAAGATAAATCAGATTTGTAAAAATCTACAGTATCATCTGAATAAAATGAAAACCTTTCAAGAGCCCCCTTTTGAAAAAGAGGCTAATGCTATCGTGGACAGATGGCTGGATGTATGTGATAAGTTCCTTAACTGAGAATTCTGTTTCATGATGAATTGATATTTGGGGAGAATGTCTCTAGTATTCGTATGATACTGAAAATTTAAGCTGTCATTCTTTGTTAAAAAAAAAAGTAATATATTATTTATAACTTAGTAATATATTATTATAACTTAATTAATTTCATCTTGGAGTTAGACATTGCTAACAAATGGGACTACAGTCTTCCAGATTGTGTGTGTGTGTGTGTGTGTGTGTGTGTGCACACATGTGCATGTGTGCCTACCTGCTGCCAGGTGTGGTGGTGTATGTAATCCAGCACTCGGGAGGAAGTGACAAGTCAGGAGTTGAAGGCCAGCCTGAGCTGCACGAGTGCCAGTCTCAATAAATAAAAATAGCCAGGCACGTGGTGAACGCTGTCAGTGCAAGCACTTGGGTGGCAAAGGCGTGCTGATCTCTGCGAGTTCAAGGCCAACCTGGTCTACATAGAGTTGTAGGGCAGTCAAGGTTTCATAGTGAGTCCTCGTCTCCAAAAAAGAAGCAAAACTTTAAAAATCATACTCAGTGTATTGAAAATAAACTTGTCAACGTAGCCTTTCATGCAGGATTTTGAGGTTCAGTTGTATACTTGAAGCATTTGTAGTTTAGTTTGATATCCTTAAAAATTACAAACTAAGAGTTACCTGTATTTTCTGTTAAATTAATCAAATAATCTCATTCATTCATTCATTCATTGAGACAAGGTCTTGCTATGTAGCCCAGGCTAGTTTTTAACTTAACATGAGCCCAGGTTGGCCTCAGACTTGCACTGGGACTCCTGCCTCAGTCACCTCAGTGCCTGGGTTGGAGCCGTGTGCCGCCATGCCCTTATATGATAAAGGCTGGCCTCGAACTCACAGTGATCTTCCAGAGTTGCTCTGAATTACATATATACTATAGTGAATCAGCTGTTATTTATTTACTTTTTTTTTTCCTTTCCTTTTTTTTTTTTTTTTCGAGACAGGGTTTCTCTGTGTAGCTTTGCGCCTTTCCTGGAGCTCACTTGGTAGCCCAGGCTGGCCTCGAACTCACAGAGATCCGCCTGGCTCTGCCTCCCGAGTGCTGGGATTAAAGGCGTGCGCCACCGACGCCCGGCTTATTTACTTTTTTAAAGAGAGAGGACAACATATATAAAAGCAATTTTTTTTTCTTGATGAGTCAGACAAATTAGCTTAAGGGTAGACTTAATTGTATTTCAAAACAAGTGAGTGAAATGATCTTCACACCTGTGTCCATTATTTCTATTTACAACTTGCTGTAGATAAACGAGAAGACAGAAGAATACGGTGAAAATCTCGGGCGGGCAGTGGCCTTGTGGGACAAACTTTTCAACATAAAAAACAGCATCGACGAGTGGGCTGCGAAGACCCTAGGGACAGTGGAGCCGCAGCAGCTGACCGAGGAGGACAGAGAAAGGCTGGAGGTAACTCAACCCGGATGAGACAGGTGCTTTGCCTGTGTGCTCTTGGCGGCCTCACGTTGGATTTGCTTTGTTGCAGCAGGGTAGAAAAATTTTGCTGAAATGACCTACCTCTTTCGAGTCTCCTGAGAGGACTCTGGACTCTGTGAAATCCAGGCAGATGTTTGCAGATTCACAGACTCCCAGGGCTATGGGAAACAGTGACCTTGGGTAAAGGATTACAGGGAGAGAGAGCTGGGGTGTTCTTTTTTGTTTTGTTTTGTTTTTGTTGTTGTTATTGTTTTGTTTTTTGTTTGTTTGTTTTCAGTTTTTTGAGACAGGGTTTTGTTGTGTAGCTTTGGAGCCTATCCTGGAACATACTGTGTAGACCAGGCTATCCTCAAACTCACAGTCCCGAGTGCGTGAGCCACCACCACCCAGCCGAGAGCTGGTTTTTAACCAGTTGCTCTCCAGTTGGCATTTGGAAAGAATCTGAGCGACCTCTTTTCATTGTAGGAAGAAATGTTTCTGTCCCTGGGTGTAGCGCAGAGGTAGAGTGCTTCTCTCGTGTGCTTGAGCTCTTAGTAAGAATTTTTGGATCCCCCGCAGTAGGTTTCTCAACCTACACAGTAAGCCTGATCGAGGCAAATTAAAAGACCAGGTTTAATGAGCGAAGCACCCCTGGGTGACTCTCAAGCCCCCCAGAGGTGAGGCAGGGGAGGGAGGAGGAGAAATCACGTGACAGGTCTAGGGACCATAGCTTAACTACTCTGTAGCTTGGTCTTGGGCAGCTTTAGGGGGAGGAGCTGCCGCTTGGCAGGCTTTCTGAGAAGGGCAGGGTTTGGAATAGGGGATGGGGATGCTTCCAACTGAACAGCTCTGAGTTCAGTTTCTAACACTACATTTAGGAATTCTTTCTAATTGCTTATGTGTGTAATGTCATTAATCGGCACCACGTCTTACTAGATTAGAAAACATCTAAATACTGGCTGTTAAATGTGATTCAGTACGGTCCAAAAATATGTGTGTGTATGTATCTAATACTTCAACTCTCACTGTCTCCCAAATTCTTACATTTTATTCAATGTTTAATTCATGTATTTTTCTGCATGTTGGGAAAAGGTTTTAAAATATGAGGTTGATTTCCAGTTTCCTGGACCATTTTAGGATAGTTATAAAATGAGTCATCTTTAAGGATCTTGTAGATATGTCTTAAATAATAGGTTATTTGAAAATGTGAAGAAGTAAAAACGGCTAGCCTATGGGCCAGGTTCCAAGTGGGCGCATGCTCATTCAGAGTTTGTGCATGCATAGCCAAGACATTGGCCACGTTCTTCAGCCGCGCACACAGCCTCATGGCACAAGCCTTGCTCCTTCTTTGTCTTGAAAAGAGAATGCTTCCCTTGGCTGTCATTCACCTCATCCCTAAGGAACTTGGGTTTGTTACTCCCCAGAACATAAAAAAAAAATAAAATAAAAACAAAAGATTAGGAGAAATTCAAGAGCATCTTCACGTTTCTGTATGTCAACAATAATAATCATAGGTACTTGACAGTAAGATGAAATAAAAGTATTTCTCTTTTAAAAACTTCTGTTTTAGGAAGAGTTAAAAGTCCACGAAGAGCAAGCTTCCGAATTTTCCAGAAGAATGGCTGACATACAATTGCTGCTTCAAAGCAATGAGAAGCCACTTGAGCTACAGGTATGGGAATTTTGATTCAAGTCTCAATGGAAGAGTCTCCATACCTTCCAAAACAGCATCCATCATCCTCACATTCTAAATTTAAGTAGAAAATGAAGTTAGAATGACTCCTTATTTATGTGCAACTGAAAATTTAAGCATCAGCATAGGCAGGTATGTGGTCCCCATTCAGCGAGATAGTATTGTGGATTTGCATTCTTCTCTCCTTTCACTTTCTTACAGGCCCGCTGTGTGCAGGAGACATGGTGGATGTGTTTCCACATACAGTGACAGTGGTTTCCTATGTGTGTGCAGGGAGGAGAATACGTCTTGAGTGACTCTAGGGTCATTAAGTGCTAGATAGAGACAGAAATTGCCTCTGGTGTGGGTTTTCTGTAGTGAGAAGAGATTTATCTCAATTTCATTTGGATGAAGAAGGGTCATAGTGTTTAGACGTGAGCTCTTGGGCAGGCTTTGTGGAAGGCATCTTGCCTCTCCAGCCTTCTAGCTTTGTGATCCTGGACAAGTTGCGTAATCTTCTGCAGGCT